CCTCCTTCCTCCGCACAGCAGAGCAGCGTGGGGCTTCTCTTTTAATCCATCTAATAAAGTTTATTTATTTATTTGTTTGTTTGTTTATCCAGCAGAAGGGTCTTGGAGCTTWTGGGCTCACAGTTTGCACAGCAAACTCTGTTAAATCTCTGCTAACACGACTGGTTTCTTTAGACGTCCCTAGGAGGGGCAGAGGCTGGGCATTTCTTGGATAAAACCGGGATGTTTCTGTCTCCTTATTCGCACACAGAGGAGGAGATAGAGCCCTGTGCCAGGGAGCGGGCAGCCCTTCGCTAGAGGGCAGCAGCATGCCAAGGAAATTCCCGCCCAATCTGCCCGGTTTTGGGACGAGCCAGGCGGGAGCATCCCGGGAACTTCACGCCTCGAGAGCGCTGGTGGCCAAGGGCAGAGAGGGGCTGCGGGGCCGGGCCGGTGCGGGGCTCCAGCCGGCACCTGCTTCCCGCCTCTGGAAGCGATTCCTGGTGCTGCTGTGCCRGGAGGGGAGCCGTGCCGGGAAGGCAGAGTGGGAAGACATGGGAGGCCTTGGCGCCAGCAATGTTTAATTGCATCCAAATATGAGGGGCAGGTGGGAGCCGTGAGGCTACAGGATCCTGTCACACTGCAAAACTCCTCAGCTGGATGCCCAGGAGCGGCTGACCTCCGGGATGAGCTCGGCTCTTGGGAAAGGGAGCCAGCGCAAGCAGAGACGCGGAGGTGCAAAATCCCGTCTGTGGCCAGACCCCCCTGTGCTCTGCTGGGGATTTAGGCACGTGTTAAAGCACTTACTTAAAAATACGTATATTTTATATTTTATATTTTATATTTTATATTTTATATTTTATATTTTATATTTTATATTTTATATTTTATATTATGGGTGTTTGTGTGTGCATGCGCACATTTATATATGTGTATATTTATATATGTGTATATGTATATATGTGCATATATGTGTATATATGTATATGTTTAGGTGCATATATATGTGTAGGTATGTACGTGTATGTATCTGTGTGATTATGTATGTATAGACACATAAGCATGTGTATGTATGCATATGTGTATATGTATAAGTGTGTATATATATATATACACACACACATATATATGCATATATATCCACACAATAATTGTGCATGCAATTGTATATGTAAATGCTTATATATATATATATATATGGGTGTGTGTTTATATATAAATGTGCACACTCTGGGGTCCATTGCATTAGCCACAAGGCTGCTGGGGTGGCAAAGGGGTTTGGGCCTCCCTGTCAGTGCTGCTGTCACCTCATTAACACCAAATGGCAGCAACTGGGACAGCTCCGAAGCGCCGGGGGCTGCTGAGCCCTGGGAGCTGCACGCGGTCCGGACGGGAGAGCTGATCCCGGGGCCAAGGGAGAGCAAAGGGGAAGGATTTGGGAGAAAGGAACCGAGGAGGGGCAAGAGCAGCCAGCGCGCAGCAAATGCAATCCGGGTGCATATCCAGTGCATATACACTAAGTGTGGGTGTGCATATACATACATATGAGTGGGGATGGTATATAAACGTATATATATAAATATATAGAGTTGCATGCATTCATATGGTGGGGAAACACATGCACCCAAGCACACGGACACAAGCGAGCGCATGCAAGGGAAGCGAGCGGCCCTTGGCCACAGCGTGGGCCAAGCTCCCCGCTCAGGAGGAACAAGGCCTGGGGTCTTCAACCAACCCCCAAAAAAGGGTGCCGTTTCTTGCAGTCTGTAACTCATGCCACGCATTGGTTGCAGTGCAGGGTGAAAGGGAGAGCCCAGTTTTCCCCCCGCAATATTCCCGTTAATGGCTTTCAAATGTTGGCATGGCTGGCGGGTGCACGCGCCCGAGTGTGTGTGTTGGCTCCGGGCGCTGTCTCCGTTGCACAGCAAACTCCTGGCTCCGGGATATTTAAACTGACTCCGTCGCCTCTCCGATTTCAGCTGCGCTTTGTAAAGAAAACAACTCCCACCGCCTGCAGCAGGAAATCACTATTTGGCTTTTGGAGGCTCCGCTTCCTGAGGCGCCGCGCGGCGAGCTCGGCTCGCTCGGCCCGGCAGGTAGCCCACGGCTCTGCTAGAAATGCAYGTTGTGACAAATGCATTTAGCCGTTCAGTGACATCTGTGCCGTTCGCTGGCCATGCACTGGCACCCAGGCAGCCCCACTGGCCAAAACACTGCGCTCGGTCTCCRTTCCCCATCCAGTTGCTGCCTGGGAACGGGCGGTGCTCAAGCCAGCAGCAATGTCAACTCCATGGATGAGAAAGGGATTATTTATGCCACCATAAACTTTATTAAATTTTATTTAGAAAAAAAGAGAGTTACTTTATATTTCTCTTCATTAGCAAAGTGGCTCGTTCCAGGCAGCCTGCTCTACAGTGTTTTGTKGGAGCGGGTACAGACGGACACGTGGCTCGTGGCAGCGTCCTGCTTGGGGATGAGGGGTCGTGCGGGACCTCCCTGTCCCCCCCAACAAGCACACTGGCCAGACCACCCAGCGAGCGCTGGCCCCAGGTCCGCTCTTCAGTTGCTTTCCCCCTTCTTTCCCCAACTTCTCCCATGCTGGAAAATCCATCTGCTCCCAGCACGGCTGGCTCCAACACCCACACTAAGCGCGGGCTGCTCCTTGATCCGTGTATGAGTTGCAATCAGTGTCCATCTCCATGAGATCCCCCCTCTTTCCCTCTCTGCTTCCCATTGTGCAGCCACAAGGATGCCCCCCAAAATGACCCTCCTGCTGCTCTGCTTAGGGGCAGTTTTTCCTCCCGGGTGGGGTTCTTCTTTGATTTTAGCTTTCCAGGATGCTCCCGCTCCGCGCAGGTTAGGAATCCAGCAGGAAACCAGCTCCAAGCAGCTGCCGTCGGCTGCCAGAGAGGGGGAAAAAGTGATGCCGCGGGGCCCGCAGCCTCGAGGCCGTTTTTGGGGAAGGGGTGGAAAAGCRAGGAGCCGGTGGGCCTGAATCCGTAATTCCTTCCAGCTGCCGTCAGCCTGGCAGGGTCTCAAAGGCGGTTTAATAGACTGCAGCCGTCCCCCGTGCAGCGCCGAGCTGCGGCCAGCCCAGGCTGGGATTACCCGAGCGCCGCCGCCTTCCCAAAGCGCCTTTTTCTCCCTTTTTGCCTTGGCTTTCGCTGTGTTTTCTCGCATGTGCGTGCGTGCACGTGCGGGCGCTGCGTCCACGCACGCGCCATGGGTCCCCCCCACTCGCTGCCTGTCCGGGGCCAGGGGCACTTGCAGGGGATTGCGGGCTGGATTTGGGCTGGATTTGGGCTAATTCTGTCAAAATGTTTCCCTTAAATGAAGGGGTGAGCCCATTAGCAAAGGCCAGTGCTGCCCCGGCCCCCCRGCTCCAAGATACTACCCGGGGAATGCTAAAAAACCTAGTGTTCGCTGGAAAGCAATTAGTTAAAAGCGGAGCACATCTGTTATTAATTAATTCCCAGGCAGGAGGGTTAACTCTTCACCTCCTTGGCGCTTTGCAAGGTGCACGGCGCCCTGCGCCCAGACCATGCATTCCCCAGCGCAGCCTTGGGCCATGGGGTGAAAAACACCCGGGTTTCTCCGGGTGGGAAAAACGTCGGCTTTGCCGGCTCCTTTCCATGGAGGCAGCAGCCGTTTCCAGAATCCCCATTTGTGYGGCTGAGCCGCCGCCGTTTCAGTTGCATTTTCGCACGCAACCGTCACCAAAGTACAGCCGTAGGCGTGAGCGTCACGCACAGCCAGCGGCACATCCCGCTTCCCGCCCGGCCGCCTTCCCGGGAGCGCAGCGCCCAGCCAAGCGGCATCCATCCGCACCGGGTTCCCAAGGGCGGCAGGGGCGCGTGATGGGGAGGACGGAAACGGGGCACCGCTTCCACCCCTGCTCGCCAGCCTGCGGGGTGGGAGGAAGGCTGCCAGCCTCCTCCTCCTCCTCCCTCCTGCGCTTGCCTTGAGCTCGCCGCTAAAAATAGGTTTTAAGGGCCGGGCTGCAGCCCCGAGGGCAGCCAGCCCAGCTCCCAAACCAGCCCACGGCRCTCTGACCAACTGACCCATTTGGCCTTGGTTTTGAAGCATTTTTCCCTGCCGGCTGCTCACAGGGCTGGGGCGTGCGGCAGAGCCGGGCTGGGCCGCGGCACCAGCGGGATCACCCCATTCCAGAGCCCTGGAGCAGGGGGATGCGCTGCCTGTGGTCTCAGGGGGAGATCCTGATCCCGCTGATCCAGAGCACATGATGCTGCAGCCAGCGCTTGGAAATGAAGACAGACCTTTATTTACAGTAACAAAAGGAACAACAAAAAAAAGACATTTATCCCTCCATTTCTACCCAGCCCCTTGGAAGGACGTTTCCTCCCACCGTTGCCCAGCCACACGCCCCGTGTCCTTGGGTGAGGGGACAGGGCCATCGTTCCAGAGCAGCCAGTCCGTCCTGCAGCACAGAGGGATGCGCACGGGGCGGGAGGAGCGGAGCGGCTCCGGACTCGCCTGGCCCCGCAGGGATGGACTTGGCCAGAGGGGCTGCAAAGCCCAGACATGTCCCCAGGCTCCACAACCAAGGGAAAAGCTCTTCCCGGCTRGCGGCACGGAGACGACAGCCTGATGTATTTATTGCACTTGGCTGCTAATCTCAGCACCAGGATGGGAGGAGAAGCTGCATCCGACAGCACAAGCGGGGAACCCATAACTGGGTGCCCTGGCCCAGGGCTCCTGCATGCTCGGACCTGACGGAGACACCCCGAGGACGCTCGGTGCCATCCTGCCCCCGGTGATGCAGCGAAGTCTGGGGACCAGCGGCCGACGTCGCTCCGGCGGGGCCGGGGCTCCTGCTCTCGGCTCAGGTGGCAGGAGGCTCCCGCGGCCCCCAGCGAAAGGGCGCCGGGTGCCCGGGTCTGGCCCGGCACGACGGGGAGAGGTAGAGTGTGAGCGGCCGCACGGCCGCCCCCAGACATCCCTCGGCTCCGCGCTTGGCCCTTCCCGGAGCAGCGGGAAAATCGCTCTCCTTGGCTCCGCTCCCGCCGCCCGAGGGTCTCTCTGCGCCCCGCGGGCCTCCGTGGAGGCTCAGGAGGAGAAGCAGAGGCCGCAGCACTCCATGCAAATCTCCAGGCAGTCGGCGGACTCGCAGCAGGCGTCGATGATGCCGCAGTCCATGTCGCAGGGCAGGTCGCAGTCCGCGCACTCGCCCGAGTTGCAGCAGCAGCAGCAGATGCAGGAGTCCTCGGAGGTGCAGGAGCCRCACGTGGCGCAGTCCAGCACGATGTTGCACAGCGTCAGGAACTCGCAGAAGAGGCACGAGAGGATGCAGTGCACGCAGCAGTCTGCGGGGAGAGCGCCCGGGACACGCGCTGGGACCCACGGGCAGCGCGGGGCTGCTCAGGTCTTAACTGGGAGTGCTCAGACTTTAACTGGGAGTTAAGGGAAGGGATGGAAAAGGGGCTGGGAGCCAAACCACCACTCCAATGACTCCACTCAATGCCTGGGGACCAGTACCTGTGCCTGGGATGCACCCAGGGCAAACCAACAGCTTGTGGAAAAGCCTTGGGATGAGCTGAAGGAGTGACGTAGGGGCCAGAAAGTTGCCAGAGCTGGAGCCAGGCGAACGCCCAGGCGGCACTGCCGGCACTGGGGAAGCTGCGAGGGATGCGGGAGCCGTGGAGCAGCCGGGAAGGGACCCTCCCCTGGGGAAAGGGACCACCCGGGCAGAGGGACCAGCTGGGAACAGGGACCTGCTGCAGAAACGCAGTACCTTCTTGAGCCTCGATGGGGATGTGGGACGAGGCGGACTTGGAGCTGCCCTTGCTCTTCTTGCTGGCCTGGCTGTTGATGGAGTGGTGGGACTGCAGCTTGCGGGGCGGCTTCCCCGGCGCGGCGAGCGGGCGGAAGGGGCCGCTGCCCGGCTCCCCGCCGCCCTCCAGCCCCTTCCCGGCGCCGTTGGGCAGCAGCCGGGATGCGGCACCAGGAGCCTGGGCGCCCGGCGGCGACACTCGCACTTGGGGCTGGCCTGTTGAGGACACAGAGCGCGTGTGAGCCGGGAACGCGGCCGTGCCAATGCGGATGCACGCTCGGGAGCATGGAAAGCCATGGGGGAWGCAGATGAGAGTGGCATCAGCACTGTGGCAGTGGCAGGATGGGGATGGAGAGGCTTAGACTGCRCTCAGAGCTGGCACTGCCCATGCTCCCACCTGGAAATCCCAGTTTCCAGCCATTCTCCCTCCTAGAGCTGGGAGAAGACACATCCGCAGGCTGCACATCCCCCTCAGCACGCAGCCAAGTTGGATCCAAGGGCTCCCCAGCCTCTGGCTGAACTCCTCCACAGCAGGAGGAGCAGGAACGGGACCGGGACCGGAGCCTCCGCTCCACCCACGCCTCCCTCCAGCCCTCGCCTGCCRCTGCATCCCAGAGCCGGTGGCACGGCGCGGCGCCGGGAGCGCTTCCCGCTTCCCACCGGGCACGGGGCTCCCCAAAGCAAAGCCCGCCCGGCGGCACCCCAGCCAAACGCCCATTTTCTCCAGTAAACAAGCGATGAGTCAGCGCGAAGGCTCGAGGGCAAAGGCGCCTCCGGCCGAGCCGGGAACAGGAGCCGCTTTCTGTGCGCCGGCCCGCGGGAGCTGCGGGGCCGCCGGCGCCGCGCGGCCCCCGCCGGCTGAAAGAAAACAGGCTCCAAAATCATAATAAATAACCAAGGCGGGAGCGCCGGGCGGCGGGGAGGTTGCTGCTGGGACTGGCGGTGGGATTTGAGGGAATGCTGGGGTGGGAGGAGGGAAGGGAGGAAAAGAGGCCTCTCTGTTTCCTTCCCGTCTCCGTTGTGCTAAGGCGGGTTGGGGGTGGTGAGAGGCCGGTTCCAAACTCCCCCTTGGAGCAGGGAAAGGGCTGGAATGGGAGCTGGGAGAGCGGGATGAGGCCTGGAGAGCTGGGAGCACAGAGTGAGCAGGAGGAATGGAAAAAAATTATCTTGGATAAAAGCCGCCGTCCCTCCCCAAAACTTCCGCARGTCCTTGGGGGCTTGCAGCTTCCAAACAGGAGCAGGAGCGCCRGGGCCCTGTGCACAGCCTGTCCCTGCCCTGGGAAAGGCACGTTTTTGGCTCGGCACCGCGAGCCTTCGGCAGGAAAAGCTCCTCCTCGTGCAGGCGCGGGGCCGGATCCTGCTGGGGGCAAGCAGGGATCGCAGCCGGGAGCGGAGCGGGAGGCCGGTCCCGCACGGAGCCCCTTGTCCGCACGGTGACCTCCCTGCACCGAGCACGTGCACCGAGCTGCGTCAGGCCTCGGCTGCGAGAGCCGCCTGGGAGCGGGGCCGGGAGGGCGGCAAGAGCCACAGGGACCTCCACAAGCTCCAGCCCCTGGGATGCAGGAGCGTGAGGCRTAAAGCTGGAGAAAGCAGTGCCGAGCGGCGCAGAGCCCTTCAGTGGCTGTGGCCACGGAGGAGGGGAGCCAGGGAGCTAGGGAATTTCCGAGGATGGCTCTCCTTGCGAGCACTGCGCGGTCGGAGCTGCCCTTCCCAGAGCCACGCGCCCCACGAGCTGTCCCCGGCCTCCACATCCCTCCAGTGTGCGCAGCCCAATTGCCCCTGCCACCAACACAGGAAAACTCGTGCCYGGGTCTCAGCCTCCGGCTCGGACCTCAGAGCCTTCCTCATGGGGAGCTCACGGGCACGGGGGGGACCCTGGTGCTTATTGAGGAGCACCCTGCAACGCTCCTCAGCGCGGCGTGTGGAGGATGGGATGGGGATGGCGATGGGGAGGATCACTGGGCACATCTCACAGAGCAGCACAAGGGTAGGACATCGGGACTGTGGGAAACCTGCATTTGGAAACCCACGCCACCGTTTCGCTCCCAAGCTGGCTCTGCTGACGGGAGAATCCCGGCGGCTCCGTGCGGCCCCGCAGCGGAGCTGCTCGGGTCCTGCTCACTTGCAACTCACTTCGCCCCGACCCTTCCCAGCAAAGAGCAGTGGTCTGCATCCCTYGGCGTGTCCCGGGAACGCACGCGGAGACTCACACGTCACGGCATCCTGGGCCAGCTCGGGCCGGGCCTTGGCTGCTCCGTTCGTCAGGACTTTCTGGGATTCAGCATCTTCCTTGGGCTTCTCCCGCTTGGGCACCGCTTCCGGGGGCTGTGGCGGGGACAGCCGCAGGGTCTCATCCTCCTCTGCAAGAACAGGGGGGCTGAGCGGAGCTGCAGGGAGACCTGGCACCTTCCCTGGGACTGCAGGGAGCCCTGGCACCTTCCCTGGCCCAGCCGAGTAGTCACCAACACCCAGAGCAACCCGGCGACAGAGCCAGGGCTGCTGCAAACCCCGCAGTGCCACCCCGGGCACCTTAGCCGTGTGGCATGTGCCGGGGCTGTGGGAGCAATGCCGAGGGTCCCTCGGGATGGACACGAGCGCTGCATCCCGGCTGCTGTGCTCGGCACCCTGGCAGCTCATCCCACGGGCCTCCCCAGGCTCCCCCAGCCCTCTGCCATGACAAAAAATGTGAGATCTGGTCACACTCGGTTGCTCAAACTGAGGTTTTCCCTCCTTTTCTGGCCAAAACGCCACTTTCCTCCTAGCAGAGAATGCAAAGAAGCGGCGTCCGCGGGACCCGGGCAACGCAAMGCCCGTGGGTACCAAACCAAGAAGCTCTGTTTGCCACCCCAGACTGGGAGCAGGGAAAGGAGAAAACATCCCCGAGCAAAACGCGGGCAGCGGGGAGAGGGCAGGATGTCGTGTCGGGGCCACGAGCCCCAGCCCCGCCGCCCGCCCTCCCGCTCCCGGCTCCCGGAATAGCTTCGGTTTGCAAGCCGGGGCTGGACCGCACTTTATATAACACTAAATTATACCTTGGGAGCGGGCCGGGAGACCAACCACCCATAATTTCCCTGGCTATAACAAGAGGTCCTACATGCGGGCAGGCGAGGGCAGCGAGGGGAAGCAAGCAGCCCTGGRTGCTTTTTACGCTTGGCAGAGTGAAAATCCCACCGAGACAAAACCCCTTTATGAAGCCCAGCTTGGTAGGGCTGCAATTGTGACTCCCTGTGTTTTGCTGGGTTTTAAGGCTATTTTGCAGACAGGTTCCTCTGTGGGGTGAAAGTCACCCAGGCCAAGATAAATCAGTTGCCTTTTCCCGAGAAATCTTCCCGAGCAAGGTCTGCGGAGTGCTGCGCTCCAGCCAGACATTCCCGCAGGCGGGGCGATCTTGGTGCTAAACCAAAGGAAACTGCTCCAGCTGAGTCCTGCACGGAGCTGCTGGCTCTAAAACCCAAACAGGGGGGATGGGGAAAGGGATGAACCCCAGGAAAGAGGCAGAAATTTCCCTGCCAGGCATCTTGGAGCGTCCAGAGCAACATGGAGAGGAGGGAGCAGTCTGGGCACTACCTATAGGCGTCTCCACATAGTGAATAATAACTGAATCCCAGCGTTATCCCAGGCCTTGGTCGTGCCCCGACCTGGACAGCCTGCGTCAGAGCCATGAGCTCACTCATTGCCCCATCTAAAGCCTGTAAAATCCGGACAAAACCCAGCCACGAGTCCTCATGGTTGGGGAGCCACCTCTGTGCCCACGCTCCGTCCTCAGCAGCTCGGGACATGGAGCGCGGCAGGACTGGAGGGACACCCAGCTGGCCACGCGGACTGAGGCCACGGGCACTAGTAGGTGACATTGCTGGGGACGGGGATGATGGGGACACTAGTGGCACGAGCTTCGTTCCTGCCCCATCCACCTCGCCCATGTAATTACACCGCGCAGCAAGAGGTCTCACACGCAACCGCAGCGGGAGGAAACCGGCAATTAAATTAACGCCCACAAGCCGGGCAGGGGAGAGGCAAAAAAATAGATGGGGACAAATCCAGGTGAATCCAGAATCCGGTGCTGCCCTGGGCTGTGCACTGTGGATGAGCCCAGTGTCCCTCCATCGGGTGCCCTCCTCGCTGCGGCCCAGGGCCCTGCTCCTGCTTCCCTGCCCTGCTGCGGGAGCAAGTCTGGGCTTGAGCACAAGGAATCACGCGCTTTGCTTCCCACACGCTTGCCTCGTGGTAGGGAACAGCCCCCAGCCCTCACAATGGGGAGCCCTGAGACGTCCTCGAGTCACCTCCACCCGCTGTCTGCACCAAACGAAGGGCCACGGCGCGCGGGGACGCTGAGGTGGCGCTTTCGTGGAGAAGGACGGAGATAACGAAGCACTTAAGTGGAGTACAGCAGCCCTGGTGTGTAACTGCACTGCCTTCGGGGAGCGGAGATGAGCAGAGCTGATAGACGCGGAGCTCCTGCCACGGCTGAAGAAACCATGCCCAGGTTTCTTCAGCCTATTTGCCCCCCTTGCAAAGCCCAAAAGGGCTTAGAAAGGCCTCCGGAAACCACCAGGCTCCAAATTCTACCAAATCCCCCCAAAAGAGCTGTAGAAGTAGAAAGTTTTGGGGAGAGACACAACTAAGCTCTAGATTTCCATCTGCTTTAGCTGTGCATCCTGTAGCAGGGAATAAAGCCTAGGGAATGAAGGCAGTGCCAGGGGTGGCTGATGGGCCCTGTCAGCATGTCCCCGAGCAGGACCAGAGCCCGTGCGCCTCGGCCGGGGGTGACGTGCTGGGTTTGTGCTGAGCCTGCAGGACGGAGCTGCCCCATTGCGAGCTCCAGACAAACAAGCGGGAATTGCACCGCGTCAGCACCGGTCACCAGCGAGCAGCCGGGCCGGGCAGGGCTTCCCGGCCCGGGTAAACAGGGGATAAGCAGAGTCAGCAGGAGCTCAGCTGACCAGGCACGTCCCCAGCCGTGGGTGCAAGCCCGGCTGGCCACGGTGCCCTTTCCCAGCTGGAAAGCCGAGGTCTGGAAAGCTGCAAGGCTGGAGCCACGTGGATGGGTCAAAGCCTTCTCAATCTGGACCTCTGCTCTGTGCAGGTCTCCTCTGGCCTCGCAGGAAGTTCRGATATGGTGGAAAAAGCAGGAAATTTCACAGCAGGCAATGGAGGGGATCTCATGGACAGGAGGAACATGTCAGAGCAAAGACACCTTTGGGTTGCCGAGCTCTGGAGCAAATCCCACTTCTGCCAGGATGCGCTTGGCCACGGGGGTGTTCARCCCGGGGCAGGAGGAGGGTTTCGGCACATGAGGACAATCGTGGAGCCRGCGAGAAGTCCAACCGCAGCGCAGGACCGAGCCTGCTGCCAACCCACGGGAGCCACCCTTCCCTCCTTCATCCCCCAGGAAGGGCTGCTCAGGGAAGAGATAACGTCGGACAGAGACGAAACAAAGACAGTCTGGTGATGGATCTGCCATGAACAACGCGCCCCTGTGCAGCAGGATTTAGTTTGGGAGCTTTCTCATCTGTTTAATGCAGATAAAARGAGTGCGTCATCTCTGCGCTTCCCCACATACGTGTCCGGCCCAACCAGGTGTTTGCCCAGCCTGTGCCAGGGATATTTTGGAGCTTGATTAAGTGGCTTCAAGTGCCAAGGAGACAGAGCTGGAGCAAGAGCTTCTGACCGACAAGCCAGGCTGGAGAGGAGAGCAAAACTCCGGGCTGGAAGTTTACTCAACTGGGAGCAATCCAACTGGCTTATTTACCCTCAGTCTGAAATTAATGCACCAAAAAGCACTTAAGATGCAGGGATATTCAGAGAGAGGAAGCAGGGTGGGAGGGAGCAAAGCCCGGGAGTCGCAGAGCTCCAGGGCGAGTCCTGCCCGTGCCCAACTTTGCTTCCCAGCCTCGGGCGCATCGCGGGAAGCGCCGATCCCAGCGGCTCCCTGCTCACCTGCCCCGCTCCGTGAAGCAGCCCAGCTCCGGGACAAGGAGGAATCTGGGCAAAAACAGCAGTTTCTATGAAAAGTGACTTCCTAAACGCAAAAAAGCAAAACAAAGCAAAAAAAAACCCACAAAACCCCAAATAGCTTGCCAGGTCCAGAGTTGTTGTTATTTGGTATTTATAGTGATCGGTGGGTAGGCAGCAAGGAATTGAGGGCTGGCCAGGCAGGACCTGCATCTCTCCGGTTGCTTCTCCAGGGTCCAAGGGAGGTGCAGGGCACCTGGTCAGGCGGAGGTAAAACCCCCTCAGGCATGCGGAGCTGCAATGACCTCCGGGCTGCAGGGCACGTCCCCTCCAACGCTCCATTTCGGCTCCTTTCCTATGGTCAGRCTGGTGACGGAACTGGTGACACTCGACCTTGGCCAAAGTCAGGACAGACACTTGGCAAAATCCTGGCTCCAGGGAAGGTTTCGGCACAGGCTCTGCCTAGACGCTGCTGCAGATCCAGCTGCTGTATCATTCATTTTCCGGAGCAGCCTCGCACGTCCCCCAGCAAGGGGGTGATGCCACCCTAAAGCATCACGGACAAGGTGGCAGGGGACGACCTGCCGCCTCCAAAAGAGGGAGAAAGTGGGAAATCATGAGCCAGGGCTCTGCCCTCTACCTGCTTGGACAGCCCCCGAGAGGAACCGCAGCGAAGACAAAAAAAATCAATCCCATCCCTATCTGCAGCTTCAGYGTGGGAGCAGGATTCCAGCACGGCCCATGTGGATGCACTCCCATTAGGTAAATGTAGCACTTGTTTTAGGCTCAAATAGCTCCCTGGAGGCAAAGCCCATGCAGAGTCTTGCAGCAGGGTGGTGTTAAGGGCTACCCAAGGCCTAGAAAGCCCCAGCACCCATGGAGGTGTCACAAACCCCGGCAGGTCTCGGCGGTGAGGCCAAATGCCAGGGCTCCATAAATACAACAAAACACCTTGGGTTTGTCGTGGATGAGAAGCTTGAGCCTCTGTCAYTGCAGGTGACGCTCAGAAACTCCCTTAAGCAGCAAGAATGTAGTCAAGAGGCACGTACAGGGTGGCAAGCAGGTTCCTCACGTGCTGCAGATGCAGAGGAAGGAGCTCGGTGCCAAAAAGCACCACGCCGTACGACACACGATTCGCCCCAGGACACAAAATAGATCCAGCCGAACCAGTAAAACGGAGTTTCCCGCACCCTCACTGCTAGTCCAGCCCATCCAGGGAGTCTAGCAGCTGCCTAAGGAAAATCATGGAGCAAAATCAAGCACTCCAAACACTCTGCGGGTCACGAGTGGATCAGCTGGATAAGAATAGGGGTCCAAAGAGCCCGGATGGGGCTGAATAAGCTTCCATTGACTTCAAGGCCCAGCACCCAGGCTTGGTGCCTTTTGGTGCCAGGCCCAAACATCTCGCAAGCCTCAGGAACCCAAAATCCTCATACCAGGAGACTGCTGTGCAGGAAGGTTGGAGGCTGTCCCACAATATGCAAAGTGTTCTTAAGGACATGCAATTATCCTCGAAGCTTGGAAAGCTGCTGCCGTGATGCCTATTGGATCCAAGGAGATTCTGGGAATTACAGAGCAACGAGCCACACCGTCATGCTGGGGAAAATTATGGAGAGTCTAATTAAGGGCCATGCCGGTACAGTAATTGCCTCACCTTAGCGGGTCAAACCAGCACAGGTTCTGCCAGTGAAAATTTGTGTCTTTCTAACCTGCTAAGAGTCCTTTAAAAAAAAAAAAAGTTAATTGAGGAGTAGATAAATGTGAGCTGGTGGACATCATTATTAACATGRAATATAATTTGCACATATATGGCACCTTTCATCCCAAGATGCAGCCAGCTCGCGGTTTTCAGCCGGTGCCCATCACGCGGGAGCAGCTCGGCCTCGATGTGYTTTAACCACACAAGCAGGGCTCCAGCCTCGCTGCTCGTCCTCGCGGAGAGCTGAGGCTCACGAAGGGAACCAAGTGCTGGAGCCCAACACGCGGCAGGGCTGGCGCTCAACCCTTCGGGCTGACGAAGGCAACTTGGGAAAGCTCGGGATTTCTTAGCTGGATGCCCAGGGATGGGGCTGGCGCCGAGATCCCTGCTGAGGAAWCCCCTGGCTCTCCGGACAGGGCCGGAGCTGGGAGCAGACAGACCCGGTGCCCACGTGGCGACGCAGTCAGGCAGGTGGAGCGAGCGGCTCCTCGCCGCGCCGGGCACTTCCCTGCCCCGGGAGCCCAGCCCCGCGAGCAGAAAGTGGCCAAACTGGGCGAACACCTTCCCTGCTCCGCCGGGAAGGCGGCCGYATCGGCAGCCTCGGAGCCACCCGCGCACCGGGAACAGCAGTGGCTCCGGATCAACCCCGCTCCGTCTACGGGAGGAGACGATCCCTCTACGGCCAGGCGGTCTATCCACAATCACCAAGGTCTCCAGCGGCTCCTTTGCACCCCTGCCCACCCTGGGGGGAGCGGAGCAGCCGGCACAAACCTCGGCATCCGTGGGGATTCATCCAGGAGCCCCAGTCCTAAAGCAGGGGCTGCGGACGAGCAAGGCACAATCCTGGGAGAAATCGGAGGAAGGAGGGAAGGCGCCAAGGCAATTGTCGGGGCTTCTGCAACTAATAGACTCTAGGCAGGCGCTTTCCAAGGAAATTGAATTAGAAGCTGGAGCGGGAACAGGCTGCTCGGGTGGCGAGGAACAGAGCCCCGAAGGGCCTGTGTTGTTTTGCTCAAAAGCTGAAACATTTGAAAAAAGCCAGAAATCTGCCTCTTGTTTTTTCTTTAGGTCTCTTTGTTTAAAAGAAAGAAGTAGGGAAAAGAAATACAGAGAGAAGCAAAAAGTTTTCATGAGCAATGAAAGAGAAATGAAAAAGTGGAATGAATCTTCTGGTGTCAAAGTTTTCCTGCTAATCTTGGGTTTAAAGAAAAAAATATAGTTCTTTTTAAGGGTTATTTTGGGTGTTTCCTTTGCACTTCTGGGCTGCCTGCACGCAGATGTACAACCGGGCTCATTCAGGTGGCCCAAGGCCGCGTTCGTTCCCTGTTATTTCAGGGGGGCCAGGCTCATTCCCTCCCCTCCCGGGAGGGGCGCGRGCCCAGGCCGGGGTCCCGCTGTGTGACCCGTCCCGCCAGCCCGCCCACGGTTACGGCTCCACGTGCRCTCCAAGCTGGCGGCATTGGCCTCGTCCGGGGAAACGCGGTCCCGGCATCCCGGAGCGGTGGCACTGGCTTCCTCAGCAAACTGCACGGCATCGCTCCGGGGTTTGCGAGGCTTTGGTTTGCAAGAGCCCGGCCGCCCCGGGCAGCGCGAGGCCGATCATCGGGATGGGAAAAGCCGCGATCCCGGCTTTCCKGTCTCATGGACACGGTCCCGAGCAGGGCAACGTGCTCACCCCGCGCAGCATGCACCATCCCTGGCTGCAATGCCCCATGGCCAAACACCTCGCTGTCCCTTTACACCATCGCGGCAGGACTGAATTATCTGGACTAATTCACAACAGTATCCAAGAAGGATTCAAGGAAAAAATTCCCAGGCTGAGCTATGCGTGACAGAGTCCCTGGAAAGCGCCCAGGAGATGCTGCTTTTGCATGGAAACGTCACGGGGCCAAGCAAGCAAGGAATCCAGATCGGACTGCAGCCATCCATCGCTCAGCAAGGAGGGAAAGAAAAAGCCACGAGCGCATCRAGGAGCTGCCCTGCTCGGTCTCCAATTCCATGTGCTTTTAATTCCAGGACACTTTGTTGCTGCCGCGAGGCCGGGCTGCACTAGGAGCCCCAGAGCCGGCACGGGAGCCGGGGGGAAGGCAGCTTGGCCGGGGTCCCGGCTGGGATAGTAATGCAATCGGGCGCTGCATTTCCCCACCTCTCCTCCCGGCTGGAGACTGGGAACGTGAATAAAGACACGAGGCCGCTTCTCCTCTGTGAGGCTGCTTCTCCTCTGTGCTTAACAGACTTCTCAATTGCTTTTTAAAATGCACAAGTTTCCAGTGGAAAAAAAATGAAAAAAAAAAAAAAAAAAAAAAAAAAAAAAAA